CAGGGCAATTCCTTTTTCAATCATAATTCATATCCTTTGTGGACTATCTTTGTGCCTAACTGGTCCTACCTCTAGTTTGGTCTTCTGAAAAATCTCTCTTCCAAGCTGACACTCAGATTAACACTTGATGATGGTGTGTTACAACTGCACTTAAGACCCTCCATTGGCTCATTACAATAATTCTAAACTCTTATTTTAAGAGTTCATAAGGTCTCCTGTGATCTGATCCTTGTCAGAGTTATCCTCCACCACTACTTTGAAACTTAAACTTCAATTCAAACCAAGTACAATTTCCCCACAAATCCATGCTTTTATATATCTTTACTTTTATAGCTGCTTCCAATTTCCCAAACGTGTCTTAGAGTTCAGAGAGTACCACCTCTCTGGGGTCTACCATAGTGTTTACTGTGCCCTGTACAATTTATGTGTTCAGTGTCTTATGAGAGCTAATCCTACCAGAGCAGGTAGCAAGATGATTCCCCACACAATTTTTTAATTTAGACTTCATCCTTTTAAGTGTGATTTTTGGAATATTGTTACTGTAGGTAAATGATTAAATTCTTGTCTTCTATTGAGATGGCATTTTCAACTACAGAAGAATGCATTTGTTTCTCTTTTGTCAATTATTTGTTCATAACCTTTGCTTCTATTATGGCTTATTTTTTTTCTTTTTTATAGAAAATATACTAGATATTTTAAAATAGAAATAGAAAAATGGAACAGCTATGATTTTATTGTAATAAAAATTTTGCCAATTTGACTTGAGAAGCTGGTGAGGCAACAGATATTTCAAAGACCAGGGACCAAACACAGGCTAGAAGGTAGAAATTCTCAGCCTTATGTAAGAATCAAAGTTTTAAGGCCGGCACCACGGCTCAATAGTCTAATCCTCTGCCTGCAGTGCTGGCACACCAGTTCTAGTCCCGGTTGGGGTGCCAGATTCTGTCCCAGTTGCCCCTCTTCCAGTCCAGCTCTCTGCTGTGGCCTGGGAGTGCAGTGGAGGATGGCCCAAGTTTGAGCCCTGCACCTGCATGGGAGACCAGGAGAAGCTTTGGATCAGCGCGGTGCACTAGCAACAGCGGTCTTTGGGAGGTGAACCAACGGAAAAGGAAGACCTTTCTCTCTCTCTCTGTCCACTCTGCCTGTCCAAATAATAATAATAATAATAATAATAATCAAAGTTTTAAACAACTGAACGTCCTGGGAATTAATGGATTTTTTTTTTTTTAAATTGCAATGCCTAGAGACACATGAGAGAAGGAAAGAAGATGTTTCATGACATCTAGACTTAAACTAAAAGTGAGAATGACTGGTACATTTGATAGGAGCAAACAGGAAGGCAAAAAGCATTGTGAGCCTAGAGTCAATTTGAAGACCAGGGAGGACACACACAAAAGAGTGGATATCACCCAACTGTGTCAAAAGAACAGAAGCAGAGAACAGGAATGAACAGGTGACACTGAACAGGCTAAGATAAAGAAATGTTTTTTTTTTTTTTCCTATTTCTTAAATCACAGAGTAGTAACAACATAAGTTTGGTAAAATCTGGAAAAAGTAGACCAGTTGGAGGAGGAACTTTCTGAATTGATAGAATGTTTGGGTTATAATAAACTTGAGACATTTTGAAACTACTTAAGTTTATACATTATTTTTTTCCTTTGACTAATATTGTTTCCTACAACATATATTTTTGATATTTCTTTTGATAGAATAAAAATTTAGGTAGCAGAGTGATTATGAAAATTAGTATTCCCAAGGAAGTGCCAATTTATGGAAACTGTTCTCCTAAATTGTTGAATCACTGCATCCTTGCTCTTTAAGCTACAGATTTGCTTAACCCTTTATTAATGATAGAGTTTAGAGCACTAGGTTAGTCAGCTGAGTGTGTGTTTTCTCCAAAAAGTGCATTGGTTTTTTCCCTCTTTCTTTAAACCTGATATTCTATTACCTCTCTCCTTTGCCTACTCTCAATCTTCTGTCTCCAATTTCAAAGAAAAAAAAAATAGGGCATCTGGGGAGAATTATCTCAAAATCCCATCCCATGCTTTTAAATTCTCACCTTAACTTCTTCCCTTAGTCTCAGATTTTCTAAGAATCTATGCTATAACATCCACCACCATTTTTTTTTAAATAGATACTTCTAATTGCTTCCTTTTACTGACACATCCTCCTCAGCCTCCAACCATAATCAAGAGTCAGTGGTCCTTCCATTTAATAAATACTTACTGAGTAATTACTATGTTCTGGGAGTCGATGGAGAGAAACGAGATGGTACCTCACCTCACCATCTCTGCCCTGCAACTCTCTCTTTTCTTAACTATCATCCTTTCTTCTGGATTTCAGAGCCAAACTTCCTTCCGAATCCATCTGTACTTATTGTGCTGGATTTCCCACAGCTCCTTTGTCCTTACTAGTTGGCAGTTGGCTCTCTCTGTGATCACACCACCATTCGTGCAGAGGTCTTCAACGACCTCTGTATTTCCAAAGACAATGCATTCCTTCGTGTTTACCTTCCTTGAGCACTTCCTGCTTCTATGATACAAGGATTCACGTCTCCTCCCTCTTATTTGCTTACAGCCCCTTTTATGGACTCTCCCTTTACTAGACTGGTTCAATACATGTATACTCCAGAGCTTTGTAAAACCTTATTCTAGATTTAACTGCTTGGTTTTTCTTACTGCTATTCAGAGACAACTCTTTAGAATACGATGATGATTTCTAGTTACCCATCTCTCTCTCAGAACTCTACTGATACTCAAATACATTTAACTAATTGCCTGCCAATTCCACAGCTTTCATGCTCAAGGTACTGAAAGCACATTTAATACAACATGTCCAAAACAGAACACAGCCTCTTTTGCAGAAAACGTCTTCTTTTTCCTGTATTCAACAGCTTTGTGACTAGCACTGATATATTCTTGTTATATAAGAAAAGAATTCCAGATACTTCTTTTAACTTAGCTTCCATATCAAGTGTATCACAAAGCTCTTTACTTTCAAGATGCTTAATCTCTTTCAAATCTGTTCTTCCCTCTCCATTCTTGTGACTATGGACTTATTTTTCATTCCTTTCACGTTTTGCCTGGTTTGCTACAGACTGCGGTGGCATTCAAAATGGTCACAAATCTACCCTCCAAGCTACTGCCGCAGAAACTTTACTAAAGCACAAATCTGATGGTGTCACATATTTGATTAAAGCTCTTATAATCCCTGATAGCTTTCAGGAAAAAGCTGAAACTCATTCACCTATCCCATAAAGTCCTTTCACAGACTAGTCCCATCTAATTTTCTGCCAACATTTATCCATTTAGCCTATGGATTCACTTGTAATAACTAAGCTATGAAGGTACTTCATACAGTTAAAGGGAAAATGGAGTTCAAAGATTTTATTTTTGTGAAAATTTTGAAATGAATGTCTAGCTTTTCCATAATATTTTTAATGTCCTTAGAAGAACACTTATATGCATATATTTCATAAAATTTGCTCACTAAAGTGTATTCTTTAATTCAAATTTCCATGAACTTTTTGAAGTATACTTGTATTTCCCAGAGGAAAACATTAGTAGTGTATCAGTAGTGTTGGAATGGAAGAATTTTTGTGACTGCAGAGGTTTCGGACTTGCTGGTTCAAAGAGTTAAACCTTCTTCTTACTGAGCAATCATAGAGCGCCTGAAACATGCAAATGTACACTGAACCCTTCTTAGACGGAAGCAATGTATGTAGTAGTATTCCAATTTACAGAAGGACAAATTTAGTTTTTCTTCCAGTTGAAAATTTTCTCCAGGTTTTTTAGTATTCCAAGGAAATACAGTTGGAAAATGATATATTTTGCTCTATGATGGCTCCGGGCTTGCACACAGTTTTCACTGCTCTGCAATGTCCATACCTACTTTTCAGCCCCTTCACTCTTCACCTCATACTTGTGCCTCAAGGGCCTCCCTTGGAAGCTGAACTCTGCCTGATTTCTATGTCTGTTCAGACTGCTGCCTACTATACAGGCTCCTATCATGGCAATTAGTTTTCTATCCTCTAACCATCACATTTGTCAATCTTCCCATCAGACTATAAGTTCCTTGAAGGCATGGACTTGTTTTAGACTTCAATTTATTTTTGCATAGCAGTACTTAGTAGGTGCAGGTGCCTACTTGCAGCTATGTGTCAAATCCAGGAAGGAAAGACAATGTACACTTAAATCTGAATTTTCATGAAGTAGCACATTAGCAATGTCTACATTAATTAGGTATATTTATACTAGCAGGAAGTATCAGAGTTTCAGTTGCACATATTGGTAATTCTGTAATGCACAGAATTAGGGGAATTATGCTTAAATAGTAATAAGTATAAGAACTAATAGGCTTGAATTTCTGTCTTGGAATGAGACTATACACGCATAAACATTCTATATGTATATATATATGTACATATCTGTGACCAGAGATAAGCTTAAGTGCATATTTTTCTAACACCAGAAAAAAAAATACTTAACTTACGTATAATCAAATGAAATAATGTTTTTGAAAATGTTTTTAAAATGTCACAGAACTAGAGAGATGACACATTATTATTTATTTGCACTCATACTAATTTTTGAGATTTTTAAGGAACAAGGAACTGATAACCCCACGCCCTACCACCTCTCCAAATTCTACTGTGGGTCGCTTTAAAGGAAACATCTTGGCCAAAGAAGGGGAAAAGATAAGCACACAACATTTTCCAAACCAATTATAGAATATATTTTTTACAAGTCATAAGACAGTTTTATGCTTTCAAATTAAGCTCTCAGTTTCAAAAGAAAATGACAGAGAACCATTTGGCTCTTCAATCAATCATCTTTAATCCAAACTACCCAGAATCTAAGCCAAAGAAATGACTGTATCCATTTTTCACAGAACTTGTGAGTAGCTAAAATTACAGAAAAGGTCCTTCTCCTGATTAGGTTCATGGGTGCTTTGGATAGCATGATTAAGGCCCATGCTGCATTATTACAACAAAAACTCACCTTGTTTTTGAATTCTTGACAAGGTGAATGATTTCCATTTCCCATCATTATGGTTTTGACCGCTGACAACGGAAGCCATTCCTGAACCCAGATCATAGCTGACTTTTATGTGTCCATCAGTGAGCTCGACACTCATGAAATCTTTCTAGTAACATAACAAAAATACAGAAGTTTATTAGAAACACAGAGAAATAGAGGGGTAGTCGCTCTATAATAAGAACTTACGGCTAAACTGCTGAATGTGCTGTCTTTTGACAGAAATTAATAGAATTGCTGTTACTGTTTTCTGAAATTTGGTGGGTGTGATGTAAAGGAGTAAAATAGTCACAACCGAATTACTAGCACCTAGCCTTTTGTCATAATAGTACAAAGTGGGTTTCTCTGAAAATATATTAAGCAACCTGAAAGGTATGTTCGCTTAAGGAGTTTACTAAGAAATACTGACTTTAAAAAAAAAAAAGAAACAACAAGGTCAAGAAATAATTAGAATCACTTTTCAACTTAGGTCTCTAGAAGATTAAGGAAGTGTTTTTTTGCAGCTGCACAAGTTTATACTGGGAAAATCTTTGCAGGGAGCTTCTTTCTTATAAAGGATTGTATGGAGAGATAAACTAAAAATAATAGTAATGACATTGTATTTGTGATTACAGTTACCAGTGAAAACTCATGCCAAGTGTCTACATCACATTCTTAGCTATCAAACAGCCAACATTTGATAATTTTATCGATGACTGATAATTATATTGTTATTTTACAACAAGAAAGCAAACATTTTTAATCATGGAACATATGATATGTATGTGATCTTTACCAGGTCTCGTGTGGCAAGATACATCAGGAGAGCACTTGAAGAAAATGTCCGGAACTTGAACATGACAGTGGAGATGTTTGGGTACCAGCGAATCGGGCGGCTGACCAGCGCATAACCTTCTCCATCAAACTGAATAGTCCCCTCGCTATCTTCCACCTGAGGACTGAAGGAGGTGAGATTTCACATAATTGAGATCGTGTCTAGTTTGTCTATTATTATTCAGTGCATTGAACTGTTCCCTGGGAACAGACTGCATGCACCGTGGGACAGAAACCTTCTGTCTGTACACTTCTGTCCACCTCCACTGCTACCACCTTAGACCAGGTAACTACCATCTGTAACCTGACCTTCATTAGGTCTTCAATAGCCAGGTCACTGGTGTTTTGAATGTGTTATGTTTTAGACAAGTACTAGGTGGAGAGTTAGATTGATATTTGTGCAAACTGGTGGAGTTTTTGGATGGGTTGAGAATGTATACTACATTTCCCATTTACATAACATCATAGGATATCAGCCACCTATTCTCTGAATATCTGCCATCCAACAGGTCTTTTTCTAGAACATATTACTTTCAGACAATAAAAGATACGTGTACGTGAGTTGTTTGTATGGCTTTTCAATTTATCTCTTTCATAAGAGACCAGTTAGAGATTGCAGGCCAATCTCTAGGCACAAGCTCAGCATCTTTTATGGTACTTAGCTTAAAGAATCCAGTAAATGTTTTGTGGGATAGTGATTTTAGTGTAGCAAATTGCCTTGTGTTCAATCAGTATTGGTTGAATAATTAATATACAAATTGATTTTGATTTTGGTGAATACCATATTCAGAAATATTTTTTTCAAATGTGACATTATATCTCTTTCCTTCTATCTGCTGTGGCAGAGCACAACTTAATTCTGAGGGTATCTTTTTTGAACTTGAAATATCTGTAGAATAGATGTATAAAATTAAAGTCATATGCTAACTTGAGGGTAGGAAAAAGAAATTGAGAAATATAATGGTAGTATCAGTATAAAGTAAACTTAGAAGATTATTTTAATTCTTCACTAATGAGAAAAGTAGTATATAACAATTAATGGGTTTGTAGAGAAACAACTGTTAAACATCTTCCACAAGTTGGCTTTCTGTGTCCCTGGATCAGAGAAGTGAATCACCAAAGATAAAAGGAGGAAAGGAGCTGGTTTTGTGTCTTTCATGGTTGGGTCTTTTAAAATTTTAATTACATATAATTTTTTTATAACACATGGTGATGTCATGAAATACTTTTTCCAATATAAAACTAAAAGATGCTTTTTCCATATTCATGAAAAATGTTAATCGAAAGAGGAATCAAGTCAACCTATTAACAATATAATTCATAGTGAATAAGTTGGCTATTATTTAGTCTTCCTTCATCATGACAATGAATATATTAATTTCTGGAGCACTGCATTAGAGATAAGAAAATGTTGTATGAGGCCGGCGCCGCGGCTCAATAGGCTAATCCTCCGCCTAGCGGCGCCGGCACACCGGGTTCTAGTCCCGGTTGGGGCACCGGATTCTGTCCCGGTTGCCCCTCTTCCAGGCCAGCCCTCTGCTGTGGCCAGGGAGTGCAGTGGAGGATGGCCCAGGTGCTTGGGCCCTGCACCCCATGGGAGACCAGGAAAAGCACCTGGCTCCTGGCTCCTGCCATCGGATCAGCGCGGTGCGCCGGCCGCGGCGGCCATTGGAGGGTGAACCAACGGCAAAGGAAGACCTTTCTCTCTGTCTCTCTCTCTCACTGTCCACTCTGCCTGTCCAAAAAAAAAAAAAAAAAAGAAAAAGAAAATGTTGTATGAAATATGCTTTGCAGAAGTTTCTTCAAGTTCTCATTAGGATTTTGCATTGTCTACTGCCATGTTACCAAAAAAAACCTCGGGAAGGATTGTGGGAGTCACTGTTGACAATTTCTGGACGGTTTGACCTAATACATTTTTTTAAGTTATAATTTACAATCTAAACAAACTTAATTATTCATGTGGAATCTCTTAAATTTTTAAAACTATTTTATTATAGAGAGACAGATAAAATGTTCCCATCTACTGGCTCACTCCCCAAATAGCCACGACAGCTGTGGCTGGCCAGGACCACACCAGGAACGCAGTCAGGGTCCCCTGTAGCATCTGCTGCCTCCCAGGGTACACAATAGAAGGAAACTGGAATCAAGAGCCGAATCAGGACTTGAACCCAGGCACTCTGACCTGTGATGTGAGCATCCCAAGAGACACTGTGACCATTATGCTGAATGCCCACTCCCTGATATGGATTTCACCAAGGCTCTGCTAAAAGTCAATTAATACTTCAGGTCTCAGTTTCTCAACAAAGAGATAAAATGGCTATTTCTAAGACCCCTTTCCATTCCAATATTATATGAGAATCTTCTGTTCAAGCAAATCTGTAGGGAAGAGTTGTGCTGGAATTACCCAAACATATACATGTAATGTATATATACATATACATATACATATAATGTAATACATTAGCTGATACTAGCCAAAAGAGTGTGATTCCAGCTTTCAATTGGCAACTTTATAATAGGGAAAAATAATTTCTTACAGATATATTCTATATTTTAACAGATTTTTCTAATCATTTTGAAAACACTCTCCAGGACACATAATCACTCTTTTATAACGAATAAATGCTAAGCGTCTTATCTTTTATTTATTTTTTAAAACAGGATGCCTGATCAAGTTAGTAAGGCTTAATTATGCTCTTCTGCATTTAAACTGTTAACTATAGATCTAGATGTATATCAGGGCCAATATGGCAGGTAAAGCCACCACCTACTGTGCCAGCATCCCATATGGATGCCAGTTGAGTCCTAGCTTCTCCACTTCTAATCCAGCTCCCTGCTAATGCACCTGCAAGACCAGTGGAAGGTGACCCAAGAGCTTGAGCTCCTGTACCCACATGGGAGACCTGGAAGAAGTTCCAGCTCCAGCCCAGCCAATGAAAGATCTTGCTCTCTGTCTCTGTAACTCTGACTTTCAAATACATTTTTTTTTAAAGAACTAGATGTATATCAGAGCTTGGAGTATGAAGGTACTTCAGAAACTTTGTGGAGGGAGTGTTTAGTCCAGTTGTTATGATATCTGCATCTCACATTAGTGTCTAGGTTTGAATACTGGATCTGGCTCTCAACTCCAGCTTGCTATTAATATACAGCCTGGGAGATAGCTGTGATGGCTAAAAGAAACTGGATTACTGCCGTCCATAGGAGAGATAAGATTGAGTTTCTGGCTCCCTGCCTTATCCCCAGCCCCTGATATTGAGGACATTTGGGGAATGAAGAGCATATGAGAACCCTCTCTGCCTCTCAAATAAAAAGTAACAAAATTAGGCAAGGGTATTGTGGTACAGTGGATTAAGCTACTGCCTGGAATGCCTACATCCAATATCAGAGCCTCTGATTCAGCTTCTTGCTAGTGCATTGCGGGAGGTAGAAGAAAGTGGCTCAAGTGCTTAGGTCCCCGCTACACACATCAAAGACCCATGAGGAATTCCAACATTCTGGCTTCTGCCTGGACCACACTGGTTGTTGTGGGAAATTGGCGAGTGATGGGAAAAAATCCCTTTTCTCTCTCTGTTGCTCTGCCTTTCAGGTAGATAAAAATAAATATTTTAGAAAATAATAAAAATTTTAAAATTGTGGAAAATGGAATTAAAAGATCAGTTTGTTTTGCTGTGAAATATTTTTGAAACCCATGGATAGTTTTTTTCATAATATTCCTTTTCCATGAACTACTTGAAATATCTCATAATCACTTCAATGTTCAACTAAATGCATATTTACTTGTAGCAGCATTTTTCTATTTTAATGTGAGATTCAGAAATTCATGAAAAATAAGAGATATCCTTTTATGGCTCTGACAGATTCTTCTTTCCAAAGCATAACAATAATTGCATTCATTCTACTTCCTGCTAAAGAAATGCATATTTCTAAAACTAATATTACTTGTCCTGCTGCATATTACTCATAAAATTAATTGTCCTTAACTGGAATGAAGGACTGGCTTTTATATTAAAGTGTGATAAATATTTTCCTTAAAATAATAAACATTAGGAGTTACATGAAAATTCTATCACAAATATTTGGGCTTTTGGGGAAACAGAGCTGGGATAGATCATTCCAAACTATGCAACTATATAATCAGAGCACTTACAAAAGTTCTAATAATCTTGATCAAAATATTAGTATAGCTCGAAAAAATGTGAAAAAAATTTAAAACCAAGGATTCAGCTCAGAAAATATAGAACTTCCCAAAGAAGTTATGAAGATAGTTTGATGACAAAGGCTATAAAGAAGAACTGATATTATTAAGTCACATTGGTATGGTAAAAAATGCACAATAATGGAGAACTGAACATTGAACACTTCCATGATATAGTGGTTGGCTGAGACAGAGTGAGGGCCAGCGTGTGGGTAAATGGGTACTTGTGCAGGCTGTGTGTAGTCACAGCACCCTTGAGCTTGGTGTCTTCAGCTTGTTGGTTCACTTGACATTCACTGTTACCTGATGGTGTAAAAACATTAACATACTGGGGAGAACTGTGCATGAATCTGTGTGGCCACTCAATCTACCCACTTGATTTTCCTATCTATGTGAGTAAATTCACAATAAATGCTTTTCTGAAAACACTTCCGGCTTTACAGATCCCAGACCTTTTGTGCTCTCTGGTCTCTGGTATTAAAATGCTTTCTGCTTTCCACCTGCAAGCCAGCTCCATATACAGGCTACTGGCCCACCTCAAATGCCACCCCCTCCATGAACTAGCTCTTAATGATCTTAACCAGATATGAAGAATTAGAGTACACTCAGTGTATCTTTTGGAAAAGAATTCTTGTTATCTTTTGCTTTTTGACTATTTTAGTATTGTCTTTTCCTGTCTTCCTGGCAATAAGTTTACTCATGGTTGGGACTGGGCTGTAATCATCTCATCAGGAAGTTGTATGAATCTCTGCAATCTACAAAACACACTATGAACATATAGGAAGACTATTATAATTATGTCATTAGCATAATACTTTATATGTTCATAGTGTAAGACCTTTGCAGGATAGATAATTAGTGAAGTTACAGTTATATACCACATGCAGTGCTTAATGGATATTCAAATGCTTTATATGTTTTGCTTATAGCAAGCTTTTGAAAATACTAATTAGAAATGTACCAAGAAATGTTTAGGGAAAATTGGTATTTATTCGAGAGTAGCAGAACATTAATGTAGTCTTCATGTCTTTGTTGTAGCCAAAGAATTTTATAGAAAACCTTTCATATTAGATTTTATTAAAAATTATTGACAAAACCATCTTAAATTGTAATGGATCAGGCTTTCAAACTATTCTCAATGCCATTTGACAAGGCCATGATGTCAAAATGAAATAGAGTCAGAAGATAAAAACTTTTGGAGAGGTAATACTTTGGGGCTCCTTTTGCCCATGAAATTCTAGATCTGTCGAGAAGGATATGTGAAGTATACTCTGCTACAGTAATGGAAGATTTGGGTCCAGTCCATGTACATGTGTCCTTTATGTTGGAAATTAAAAAATACAAACTCTTTAGCATATTGTGCATGTCATAATAAACTTCTAGTACTTAACTTCTATTTTATAGCTTTCACTTACTCTAATTAAGATTCCTTTAGATTTAGTTGATTAGCAGACCCTTAATTTTTATGTTGCAGATTCTCAACTTTCTAGCTATAATTTATACCTTCTATTCAATAAAAGTATTTATTCTCCACTTGTGCTGTGGATGCTTATAAATATTTCAAATTCCCAGTCATTCTAATGTTTATTTTATAGTTGATTATGTATAAAAGGCCCTTAATCCTGAATTATCTGGGCTCCTTGTTCTCCCTCTCTGCAGAAACTTGAAGCACATGGAGGACTCTGTGTGTCAATTTGAAAAGCCCTATATGAGATGAAACCTGGGATGAGGTACTACATTTTGCTACAAAGATAAGTGGAATAAACACAGGCTTAGTTAGCCCTGAAGCATAATCAATTTGGTGGCAAATTCTTTTTAAGAAAAAAAAATTATGACTACAAGACACTCAGAGACACACAAAAACCCCTGAACACAAGAGATGATAGAGTAGAAAGAGATAGTAGTCTTAACTGATTGTGGTTAAAATATCTCACCTTTGCAAATTTTATAAAAACACAAGACCCTGCAAAAGCACTGCTGTAGCACCTCCCAGAGCCTTGAAAATGCCTGCTCAATGGGGGAAGGGACTAGACATTTCACTGGCTTCGTGGTAAATCCACCTCCAAGAATAATCATTTCAAACCTGCTCCACATCATCCATGTAATAGAATATTGCACAATAACATTACAGCCTTTGTGATGCATAGGATAGACCTTGGCAGAGTTCTCATTTCAACTAACCTGACAGTACATCCTTTGCAGTCACCTTCTATTTCTCGGAAATTCCACAACCCTATAGGTTTGCTGTCAAAGTAAGTTTCTCCCATGCAGCCAGTGAATGTAATCACGCGCACAGCGTCAGCCTTCTGCAGAGAGAAATATTGTATTTGTTAAAAACAAGAATTTTGCAAATAATCTTGGAGTATCTGTGAGAGTTATTCCAGCACATATTTGCAACTGGAGTAGTTGTTAACCATTTTCTCTTATATTCTTGGTTTTCACATATTCATCTTTTAATCATATTATATTCTCAACAAAAGGGCAAAAGCTCAACTATTTCATTAATGGATCCTAGTTATTTTTGATATGCCAGTTTATCACCATTAGTAAATCAACACTTCCTATCTCTGAACTTATATGACCTGTTGACCTTCTCTGAAATTCTTTTTTTCTGTAACAAAGGACTATTGAGGAAAATAAACTAAATAACCTATTTATTGTACCCAGCTCAATGCTTGGCAGTGAAAAGCTGCTCAGTAAACATTAATGCTCCTACTTCATTTTTGGGGTAGTCAGGGCTATATATGCAGATATTCATGAGAATGGGTACATATTGGAAAGAGAAAAAGGTATGCATATAAATTACTCTGTGATCCTCCTGGTCTAACTTTTCATTTCCATGCACAAGCAAGTTGCCAGATCAAGAGAATGAAATAAAAGGAGGGAATTTGTTTAAGAGAAGGGATCACAGGCTGGCGCCATGGCTCACTTGGCTAATCCTTCACCTGTGGTGCCGGCACCCAGGGTTCTAGTCCCTGTTGGAGCTCTGGGTACTAGTCCTGGTGGCTTCTCTTCCAGTCCAACTCTCTGCTGTGGCCCAGGAGGGCAGAAGAGGATGGCCCAAGTGCTTGGGTCCCTGCACCCACACGGGAGCCTGGGAGGAAGTACCCGGCTCCTGGCTTTGGATCGGCGCAGCACTGGCCATAGCGGCCACTTGGGGAGTGAACCAACAGAAGGAAGACCTTTCTCTCTGTCTCTCACTGTCTATAACTCTCTCTCTCTCTCTCTCTCTCTAATTCTGCCTGGAAAAAAATAAAAAAAAAAAAAGAGAAGGGATCATGTTAGTATTGTTTGCTAGCATACACTGCACAGGGCTGGGCACCTTAATAGAGTATCAACTTGTGTCTGTCAAATGCCCATCCTGGTGTCATTGGCACTCAGAAAGTTCAAAGCTTGATGTATACTACAAGCTTGAAGGAAGAAAAGGACTAGACCATTCAAGGGAACTCTGGCAACTTAAACTTTTCTTACTTGGCATTGACAGATCACAAATACTTATTATATTCTGGTACCCATAACTTTAGAAATTTTGTGCCAAAGTGAATGCACACTTCTTGATTTACCTGGAAAAAGCAGTACAGTGTCATGCTTCAGTTTTAGAACCCAGAAGATGTCACTGAATGGTTAAGATTTTATAGTTGTGATTTCAGGTCAAACCTATCCCCATCTCTCTATGACTGAGACCAAATGGTGCACAGCCATGTAGGAAGAATGCTGATCAGAGCCAATGCCATTTACAAATCAGAGTGGTCCTTGGAGTGCTGTGGCTTCAGTGGAAGCCTCTTAATTTTCCAGAGGTTGCTTATCCTACTTATGGATTCTACTTGCTTTTCGCTTCTCCTCACATCCTGAAAAGCTATACTTGAGATACTTTCCTGCTCATTTAAATTTTCATCAGCGGGTTCATTCATTTGTTTTCAGTTTTGATTCATATTGTGGCAAGAAATCCTTGAACCTGGAAACCCTTGCCTGAAATAATTTCTCAAGATTCCCACAGATTTCTTGTCTCCTGAGATGAAAACGAAGTAGATTTTTGTGCCAGGGACATTTGCATAAAAATAAGGGTTATTCAAGGTGCCATGAAAGGTGTCCTCACCATGTCTCAGTATTTGTCATCTGTTATACTCTCACCATTCACAGTGGCAGTGAGCATAACTGAGAGTAGAGACACCTGGGTCTGTTAACTTGCATTCAAATCCAGGCTCAGCCATTAATGACTCTGTGATCTTGGCCAAGGCATTTAACTTCTCTCTTCCTCAGACTCCTTAGCTATAAAAGGAGGATGCTAATTTCTACCTTGCTATGATCAAAATGCATATGATCCCTCCTAAGTCATGTTTTGAGATCCTAACCTCCAAAGTTATGGTATTAGGAAGCAGAGTTTGGGAAGCTGAGGGTGGAGCCTCTGTGATGGCATTAGCTCCCTTAACAAGCAGGCCCAAGTGAACTTGTCCGTCCTATTTTTAGGGACACAGTAAGAACATCCTTCCAGTGAGGGAAAGGGCCCTCCCCAGAAACCATTTCTGCTGGTACCTTTTGGTTTTAGACTTCTCAACCTTTAGAACTCTGAGGAATGCTTGTTATTTATCAACTACACATTTTTATGGTGTTTTTTGTTAGAGAAACCCAAAGATGTAAGATGTTAAACCCAAAGATGTTAAAATGTATCTTATGGGATTGTTGTATAAATTAAATGAGTTGATTCATGCAAATTTAGACATGACTTAACACATAGTAAAAGTTATCCACATGTTCTAGAAATTTATGATCATATAATATTCAAGCATTTAAAAAGTTTTATTTATTTTATTTGAAACAGAAAGAGAGAGAATATAGATGTTCTATCTGCAGGTTCACTCCCCAAATGCCTGCAATAGTTAGGGCTCTATCAGGCTAAAGCCGGGAGCCTAGAACTCCATCCAGGTTTGCTATGTGGGTGACAGGCACGAAACACTTGATCTGACACCTGCTTCTTCCAAGGGTGCTAAATAGCAGGAAACTGGAATTGGAAACAGAGTAGGAATAGGTACTCTGACAACACTAAACACCCATCCCAAAGGTAAACTTTTTTTTTTTTAGTTAAATTTTAAAGATACAATGTTGGAGAGAAACAGTCAGACAAAGAGATATCTTCCATCATCTGTTTCACTCCCCTAATGGCTGTAAGAGCCACCGCTGGGCCAGGCCAAAGCCAGGAGTCAGGAACTCCATCTGAGTCTCTGATGTGGACACCAGGAATCCAGGTACTTGAGCCATCATTTGCTGCCACCAGGATGGGTGTGTTAAGAGGAAGCTGCATCAGAAGTGGAGTAGTGGGGACTCTGACTGGCACTTTGGTCCGAGATGCAAGCATCCCACGGGGCAGCTTAACCCACTGAGCCACAAAACCTGCTCATCAAGGTAAACAGTCTTATCACCCAGTTTCTAGAAAACTGAAGCCCAAGAGGTTAAATGACTTGCCTATGATCGGTCAAGTTTTAGTAAAGTGGTAGAGGAGGAAATCCAGTCTGGATTTGATTTCAATATTTATGGCTTTTGTACTAGTATGTCCTACCTTGTATTTACCCATATGGGAAGGAGACAGAAAGTTGGCAACACGACTATGTTGTTATGTGTCATATATATTTATATGTAGTTCTATGAAATGAGGATGATTTTCATGTACAGTTGTGGGATAAGTTCCCATAGTTTAGAATCACCTCACATATACAAAGTAAGTAAACAATCTCACTATTTGAAGGTTGAGTTCTCATAAATTTGGGGTCTTCCTGGCTTTTTGCATTTTCTGACTAATCTCATCCCACGGTGATTCTAACAAGTCCAGGATTATCTGTTACATTTGGTTGCCCTCTTGCCTCTCACCCATAGGTCGTTTTTCAACATCTAATTCCATATAATCAACATAAGGTTCTTTAAAATGCAAGCAGTTTGCATTTTGAAATGCACAAGGATCTGTCATTAAGCAATTATGAATATTAAGTGCATTACTCTTTAATAATGAGGAGAAGAGCAACTTGAAAACTTGTAAATTCAGATCATGATTTGAAAGCATGTGTCTCCTATGATATGTCCCAAGGTATTCATAAATCTTTTAATTAGATGTATGAACTTTATAGCACTTCATGCCTATTAATGATAAACTGATTCAGAAAATGAGGTCTACTTAAAAAACACTTTGCTCTTGAGTCAACTAAAAGAATATCAAAAATTAATACCATAGATAATTGACAAGTCAATTCACATAGGCTAACAAGTATTGTGTTTACAGATTGAATTTTCACAATTCAAAGAAAATTCTCATTTTAAATAAATGCATGTTTTCCTACACACAAGATAAGTAAAAAGTCACATTTTTATAAAGCTTCAACATGGCTTCTGTCAAACTAACGTCAAGAGTTGTATAAAAAAGTGAAATAAACAGGATTGAGAAGAATACCTTACCTTTAATTTTCCAGTTAAGCCACCAACAAACAGCATTGCATTTGCATCCACATCTAGAATAGTATACCCTGGAGGAGACACTGAATGGTAGGTTCGGGGCATAATGCTGGCTTTGGGTCCATCCAGGGCTCTTACAGAAATAGATCCGTTTCTCCCCGTCCTTCAAGCATGTGTGTTGAAATGAAGGGGAAGAAAATACAGAAAATGACATGTATACCACATTTCTGAGAACTTCAAATTTAAAAGATATAAAATGTACAGATATGTTTTTGAAATTGTACGACAGAAAAACATTCTAGATTTCTTAAATCTTATTACAGTATTCAGAGTCTGATCTTCACTAGATATTTACCATCAGATTCAACCAAGACCAACAAGTAGCGTATCCTGATTCTGTGTGTGTCCACTGATTTGAAATGACACTACAGTAATTAGCTGATGGACTTGCTATTGCTTCAGAGGAAAGCCTTTTTCTTTTTGCTTTATGTAATTATTTAGTATTTACCAACACAGGCAGTTTAAACATTTGTATTATTTCATTTAGCATTTTGTCTCATTTAATTCAGCAAGCAAGCCCCATATGAGCCATCCTTCTGTATCATAAGCTGCATAATTTCTTCTAAAATTCTGTACAATGTTTTGGATCCAAATTGCTGAAGTAGTGTTCCTGGAATTGCATATCTTCTATTTTTTGGCATGTCATCTTAATGTTTATAGTCTTCAGAATTGTGTATACAAATTGTATAGAATTTAAATTCAATTAACAGAGTTTAGAAAGTTATTATCATTTTATTTCTTTTTTCTTCTAAGTGATTGATTTCCATGAGTTGTTAAATTTAAAAATCTAGTCTTTCTTCTGAGACAAGCAGTCATAATAAAACTTCTCTGTTAAATTTGTCTCCTACTGTTTTATTTCAGTAATCTTTTTATCTTTGAGGGGAAAATATTAAGTTAACTATATGGTAACAAAAGAATGAATTTATCAAATGAAGTTATATCCATTCTGATAGAAGACTATACTTTAAGTGTAAATGACCTTAAACTGTACAAATTATTTACCCCCCTACATCACTACACAAATTGATTTAGTCTCTCTCTCTCTCTCTTGCTCTTTCTCTCTCTCACACACACATACACACTCACTTTTACTGAATATGTTAAAAAAGAAGTGAAAATAGAGCTTCCCATTGAGTTTTGCTCTAACTGTGTTGTTACAGAAATATTTAGACACATGCAAACAGAGAGAAACTCTGTGTATCCTGCACCTACATTCAATAATTACCAATCCTTCAAGTTTTCTTCATCTCTGTCAGCCTCATTTCTAGCCTTAGGTCCCCAACCACACTTCTCAACTGTTAGGTGCTTTGTGTTTACAGGAGGTTGAGGATTAGACAAAGAAGAGAAAATGAGAGGAAAGTACAGAAGACAGAAATGGGTTCTTTAAATGCTGCTAGAAGTTGGTAACTGAATTAAAGCTTACAAGGCAGAATTTTGGATCAACACTCTATTACTTCCCAATTCAAGTAGTGTGGACCTAACACAGTACTTATGCTGGCATTTTGGTACTCCTTGTGTTTGTGGTCACGGGTGCCATGTTTAAAGAAGAGGGACTACATATACCAAAGATAGGCAACAGTGTCACTCCTGTGCACAGGCTTCTATTTAATGAGTGTTAGTACTTTTTTTTTTTCTTTTTTACCCAGGAGAGATAGGATGACTAAAAACAGCTTAATCTCCCAATTCCTATCAGATACCTGATGAAAAACAGAAATTGACTGTTCACTCTGGTCAATACATTGAAGGCCTGTCATTTCCTAACAGGTATGTCCCATTCTCACACACTTGCACACATACATATGTAAAATACAAAATCCATACATTGGTGTCTGCATACATATACAGCTACCTTATTGAAATGCCAGTAGTTTCCTTAAAAACTACTACCAAATTGTATAATTTCATGATCTTAACCTCTGTTGAGTTAGTTACCTTGATGCTTCAATACGGTACCAATATGAGTCATCAATAGTCAAATCTGGATACTCCACACGCCCAACTCCAGATCCAACATCCCAAAGGAAGCTCACTTTGCCTTTGCGCATTTCTATAGCCAGAAAGTCAATCTAGTTCAGGAAACACAAAAGTGATAGATATCAGATAGCAAGCACCCTGAAAGATCAGGCCAGTGGAGTCCTTTTCAATAGGTTCTACTTGTAAAATAATTAAAGTCTCATGACTAAGCTTCAAGTGATATATTATATTTGATTAAAATGTTATTATTACATCTTTAAGGTAAAAGATTGTCCACACTGCTGAGGCACTGGTATTATTTCATCCATTCTAATTACACTTGGGAGATAAAAGTCTTTTCTCACTCTGTTATGGTAGAGATAAAGGCAAATGATTGATTCATTATTTTTTCATAAAGGGCACTAGTGTTTTTGAAGAGGGCACCTATGATTTTTTTTAAGTTATTCAAAGTGACCCAGACTTCCTCAGCTTATGCCATGTCTGGTGTGTTAAAAATGAGCCCTACTTATTTTGGAAGATCCTTATTCCTACAAAGCCAAATGGTTGAGATGGAAGGAATTAGAACCTTATAGGTAAGCTTTTATAGATACAACTCACATCATTTCAGTTTGAGTCATAAATTCAACATGAATAAGTAGAGTTTTCTCTGGTAATCAATCAGCACACAATTTGCTCTGTTCATTTTCATTTTATTAACATGAAAGTTCAATGTACTTTCTTAGTCTGAGAAGAGTTAAAACAAGCTTAATTCCTATTTGTCTTTCTTCTTAAATTGCTGGATCTGAAAATATAGTTCAAATTAAATGCTGATTTGCTGACAAAGGAAAGGAAATGTGCCTAAACACTGCCAAGAGCTTTCTTATTTTTGTTTGCCTTCTAATTTAATCTGATGCATCAAAAACTTTTTGACATAAGATTCTGAGGTTTCGAAGTCTAAGAGGCAATGTTAGACAAGTTTGAGGTCATCTTCCTAGATTCCATACATGTTTTCCATCACCAAGATTAATCTCTGACTAGCACATTCATAGCAGCTTAAAGGAAAGCTGAACATTAGACTTACAAATTTGGCACTTCCCAGATAAAACAGGAGGTTGTCAGCAACAGGTGTTTTGACATTGATAATAATATTATTGTAGCTTCCTTTCTTGATTTCCGGCTTGTATGTTCGAATGCAGTCACCTCCCGAGGACACGGATACTTTGATCTTCAAGAAAAACAAGGTACAAAGAACTGAAACTAAATCTCTCAAAGTTTGAAGTAGCTCCCAAATACAAAGACATCATCATTCCTTCTTTGAAGTTATTTTTCTATCATCAAATAGTACCATTAAATGATATGTAGACACATTACATTCATTAATGAGGGCAAAGAAGAGCTGCTTCCCACTAGCATCTTGCCAGTGAGCTCACCACAGTTCCATGTCTTGTTAGCATGCTACTACTCTTTAAAGCATACAATTAACAAACTTTACCTTCATACCTTTCTTTTTGATGAATGTGGCAACATTTTAAAAGGCGATTTTACATGAAGCTATGTGAATGATCTTCATTAACATAGCTTAATTAAATTTTATAACTCAAATCTGTGAATCTGGCATCACTTAAAGTAGGAAGGCACTTTTCTGTAGTTTTAAAGAGGAAATTACTTATCCTGCTATGTTCTTAAAAGTTGAAAGAGACCAAATAGATTTTGTTCTAGATGTTCTAACAATAAGGATATTAATCATCCTACTCAGAACATACATTTCAGAATAAATTATACCTTTTTATTAAGTTGCCAGGAAATGAAATGGAAATGATTTCTAATGGCTATCACTACTAATCTATTTAACAGCTCCTTTTTCTTCTGAATAGTACTTTATAAAAATTGCTACAAATTACTTAAGAAGGAATTCCTATGTGAATAGAGTGACACTGTTCATACCAATTTTTACTTGCATTTATGAAGCCTTCCTTCAATCACAAATAACACGAATTGATTATTTAATTTCCTTTGGGTTAGATACAAAATTACCACCAAAGGGGTACTCTCAAGACAGCAATTAGTTGCATGGACTCAGAAATAAGCAAAGACTTTGCTTAGTGATAGCACTCAAAGCAGGAGGCATAGATATGGGAGGGTGTACACCCCTCTTCATCATGGTTCAAATTCTTGGCTTCAGAAGTCTTTTGGCCATCACTGGCAGTGATTTTCCATGTTCTCTGTTCTTCTAGTACTCTGTGCTAGTCATAGAGTTTGGACACTTGGAAGAAAACCAACTAGCATTGTTATTCCATGGAAGAGCTGTGCAGACTCAGAGAGTGTAGGCCACCAAACTAGTCACCATATCCTGGTGACACAAGGAGCTGTCTCTAAGACTCTCATTTGAGTGTGGGTATAGGCAGATCTGTGGTCTCTCTGCAAGGATAGTAGGGCTCCACCAAAGTGCCAGATGCAAAATTGGCTGTATCCCAAAGAGAAAACTCAGGAGAGAGACAAATTCAAGTCTATTTGGGAATTTCTGGGGATTCACCAAGCATATTATTCCTCCTGCTGACCCAGCAGAAGTCAAGTATTTGTATTTTATTGCTGTTTCACGTGATTTCATCTCCACACAGAGGAAACTCTGTTCTGGATAGAAATAAGGGCTATTTCCCCCATCTTCTAGAGGAAGGTGACTCCTGGAGCCCCATGTGTGGTTGCCTTGGGACAGAAGCATGTAGGAAGCCTCCTTGGACTAATTTCCTGTCCTTATAGTCTCTTTAAGGGTGAAGCCCAAGATTCCAACTGAGTGGTACTGGACTAGGAGTCAACTCTGGTGCCCAGAGTGCTTGCTCTGTGTCTGGGGAGAGTTTCTGGTAACATAATTTTCATTCAGGAAGTCAGCTCTCTGCTCCACATATGATGGAATTTCCCTGTTATATACAGTGCCAAGAGGAGGGGAATCAAAATGAATTATGAAAAATGGAAACAGGATATGTGTAGTTTTTTACTCTGGTGTTAATACTATAAAGCGTAAGTGCAGAGGGGGTTGATGAAGGATGTTAAGTGACAAAATAGCAGCTGCACAAAGGGTTATCCAAAGGCTTAGAGATAAAAAAAAAAAAAGGTAAAGAAAAAGATAAAATAGTAGACACATAGGGAAAATGTAGTCTTCAGATATTTTTAATGTTCAGGAAAGGGTATAATTTAGAGTGAATTAAAAAAAATTGTTGCAAGTGAACCAAAATCGTCATCAGAGAAAACCTTGTTTTGAGCAAATTTCATATCTGAGGAAGGCTATAAGGGACATCAATGTCCTAAGAGGATCAAAGAGAACAGGAAATCAAGATCTGACTGGAATTGATGAGTAGAACTGAATAACAGACTGAGTTCTCCCTGGCAGGAAATCATATCTGAATTCATAGTGGGGCTGTATTAGAATTCAAAAGTAACCATGTGTAAGTTGTTTTGTCTTTGTTTCATAAGTGCTTTCGGGCTTGGCCACAGGGCCATATTAGGGCTAGTTGAATCACAAAGAAGTTATTTTATTTAAATAACATAATTAAATGATACTCAGTAATTGCTTAGAGAAGAAGCCACTAAATATGTGTGGAATGTGTGACTGGGAAGGGGTGTGTTTCAGACTTTACTAATACCTGGAAGAAAAAATAGGTGATTAAATGATGGCTGTGTTGAAAAGGGGGTCACATTGAGTGTACAAGATGGAGCCCCAATACTGAAAAATCACCAAATGAATGGAAATTCATCTAAAAACTCAACGCACAAGAGAGGAGGCGTTTTAAAATTAATGGCATGTAATGTCACCAGGAGTTATAGTTAATCCACTTTATAGTATACTTAACATATATTAAAAAAACATGGTTCCATGAACAAGATGGCATCTTATACCCGATATGCAAGCAATTAATCTAATAACATAACCTACTGTTCAACTCTCCATATTTATATAGAAAACCATCTGGATTTTCCTGTTTTCTGGACAAGGATTTTAAATATAATCTCACTACCCAAAGAATTCTGGCAGCTGAAACTGCTGGCAGCCAGTCCGTTACTATTAATTCTTTCCTTTTAAATACTTTGTGTTTTGATTTCTATTTATAAGTATTACTTTTACTCAACACATGTAAATCAGAATTTAATGCCTGTAAATTTCTCTAGTAGAAATCTCTGGAATATTTCCCTCTTGCAAGAGGGGAAAAATTTCTGAGACACAAACTATTTTAGGAGTAGGATATTTGGCTCTGTTTATTTGTCTAACTTTTGAACTTTTATTTATTTGAGGGTCAGGGAAAGGGAGAGAGAGAGAGAGGGAGGGAGAAAGAGAGACAGATATCTCATCTGGCTGGATCATTCCCTAAATGCCTCCAACAGCTGGGGCTGGTTTGGGGCCAGAGCAGGGAGCTGGGAATGCTATTCAGGCCTCTCACATGGGTTTCAGGAGACTAATTACTTGGGCTATCACAACTACTCTCAGGATCTGTATCAGTAGGAAGCTGGAGTCAGGAGTCAGAGCCACATATTGAACCCAGGTACTCCAATATGAGTTGCGGTATTTTAACCATTAGGCCAAACTGCTCCTTTATCAGTTGCTGTTATTTCTAATGTGAATCCTATAATGCAAATTCTAATCAAAACTTATTAAGTACTGGGTATTTCTAGGACACTTCTGATACAGCAGTCATGAACTCAATTAAATATTGAGAATCCCATTATAACTATTGGATTTTCACTGCAATTTTCATCCAGTAGCCAGCATTTTAAAAGATTTCCAGTCACTTGATTTCAGAATCAACAACCCAACAGAAGGGTACTTTAAGATAAATGTCTTTAATTTTTAATTATAAGATATCTTATTTTAAATAAAATATATGTTAGGATCATATCCAGATACTCATGCCAGGTTGCAAAGGTATTTACAAATTAGAAGGGTTAATTATCATTTAATGCAAAACTAATCACTTAAAAATTTAGCTGCCTGCATATCTCGAATATCTTATAAAAAGTAGGGAATTATATTGAAATTTCCATTTCCAAAAGTGATTGAAAATTTCCTGAAAAGGCATGGGCAATGTTTACATTTTTGAGCACTATTCTATAGTTCCACTTGGCACTTTGAGACAGGTTTATGTTCTTACTTACCAGAATTTCATCTTTTTGTGAGACAGAGGGAAAGCACTGCAACAACTGATGAATATCTGGGCATGGTTTTAGATTTCACACGATGAAAAATATAATAAAAATGTCCAAATTTCCCATTTGATGACTAAATCAGAAACTTGCTAAATGTGTGATTCACAAAATAATATTTACCATTCCTTCTACAAACTTAACACTGTGAAATACATGTAGTAATGGTAAAATCAGCTCTCTCTTCCTACTACCACTGCTATGGTTGGACCCTTTTTTCTAGTTTTTCTCACCTATCTCGTGAACTGCTTCTGGATCCATATTCAATAAGCATAGCTCAGATTAACCTATGTTTCATGGTCAAAACCCTTCAAATTATCCTTACCAATGAGGTTTATCCCAAATAGAATTTTTTTAAGTTTAATTTTAATCAATCTACAAAATTATACATGTAGTGTATCAATACATTTATATCCTGTGTAATGATCAACTGAGGGTAAACGTGTATGTCTTCAAATACTTACCATTTCTTTATGGTAAAAACATTCAAATTCCTTTCATCTAATTGTTTTCTAGTATACAGACAGTATATTATCATTATCCATAGCCACTGCATTGGGCAATAGAACACTAGCCTTTCTCTTCTAATTCCCTCCTCCCTCCTCTTCCCACTTGTGGTAACCAGCATTCTACTCTCAGCTTCTATGAGCTCAAAAATCTTAGGTTCCACATATGAGTGAAACCATGTGATACTTATCTATGTTTGGCTTATTTTACTTAACATAATGAGCTCCAGTACTACCCATGTTGTTGCAAATAACAAGATTTCAGCTTTTCTATGGCTAAGTAGTCTCTATCATGTGTATTTGAAACATTTCTTTATTCATTCACAAATGGATGGACATGTGTGCTGTTTCCATTCTTTGGCTACTGTGAATGGGGCGGCTATACATAAGGGAGTGCAGATGTCTCTCTGTCAGACTGATTTCATTTCATTTCTGTTGTATACATACCCAGTTGTGGAACTGCTGGATGATATTCTGGTTCTAATTTTAGTTTTTGAAGAACCTCCACACTGTTTTCCACAATGACTGT